AGCACGCAAATGAGGGGCGTTATGTGGGCGTGGCTGCCATCCAGCGAACTAAAGAGCACAATTCAAAAAGGCCTATGCGACAGATAAAATTTGAGTTAGATAAGATATAAAGCCCAATGCCAAGCCTCAGAGGCGTGGCACCGCCTAAATAAACACAATAAATAAATCACAAAGGAGAATACAATAAATGTATAAAAAAAAATGTATAAAATTTCAAATTTAATTAGGAGCCAATGTAGTTGAAATATGCTAAGCAAAGTTTAATTTAATTTAATTTATTTGTTTTGCTTCAGGCAACTGAGATTTTTTGTTCCTCAATCATTTCAGCTCAATTCTAATTGCACTTGACTTTTGTGCGCTCTCTCTCTCCCTCTCGCGCACTCTCTCTCTCTCTCATTCTCTCTTTTCACTTAAATTCAAGGCCATTCATGATTTCATGCAGCTGGCATTTGAGCAAGAAAAAAATATTTGAAATTATTATTTCTAAAAATAAGCGCATATTAATTTAAGCAATTTATTCTCAAAATAAAAATTGCACTTGAAGACGAGGAGAAGTTTTGTTAAATATTATATTAGACCAAATGTAGAAAAATTGTTCAAACATTTTTCCACATTTTCCGTATTTGAATTGCTGCTGCCACATCTAAAATTAATTCACGAGCTGAACGTCTGAAGGAAAAACGTCATTAATTGCCGTGTGTATGTGTGTGTGTGTGTGTGTGTGTGTTAATGTGTGTGCGGCTGTGTTTCGCTTAATAGCTTTTCATAGCACTTATGCATGTCTGTCTGACAGCTGATTTTTTAGCATGTTTCGCATAGCGTTAAAGAGAAGAGAAAAAAAAATGCAATATTAAAGAGAAGCAAGGCCAAAATAGGAACATGCTCAAAACCCAGTTACCCTGTAGCCTACATAGATCTATGTATATATATATATTTGTATTTTAGATACATGTAGCTGCATAGATAAACACATCAAATGGCTCTAGATAAATTTATGAAAATCACATAGAAAGGCGTTTTTTTTTTTCTTTTTTTTTGGTATGGATTTTTATGTTTTTTTGCATTAATTTCATTCACCAATAAGCAAATTTATATTATTATATAAACATGATTGAAGAGCAGTTGATCTGTTATTATTAATATTGTTGTTTTTTTTTTTGTTTATCAAAAGTTTTCCGATTATCTAGCAAAATCAACTTTCCGAATGAAAAAATTTATAAAATAAATTAAACAAATGCAATGAAATATTTGTAATACAATATTCCTCTAAAAACATTTTTTCATATTACGTATAATTTGTAAAAAACTTTTCAATTAATGAAAAGCAAACAACAAACTGATTGAATTCCACTGCGTTGCGTATTAATTCAATGGAAATTGGATGTCTATATGTATGTATGCATATATATGTATGTATGTGTAAAGCTGCAATTTGTAGAACTTATTTCGTTGTTTATTTTTGTCTAGAGCAATTCAATTGCATATTTTCGTATTGGAGTTGAAAGAAATATGTGCATGTGATCCACACACACATACACACACATATATATGTATATATAAACATATATACGTATATATACAGCCAATCAGAGGCTGAGTGTAAACATGAGCACAAAGAACGAGTGTGAAATGAAAAATTGGGTCGCCCACAAAATTAGGGAATTACGTTTTTTATGTCCAGGCGCACAACACAGGTACAACAATAAGCAAACGAACGAAAACAAAAAGTAAAGCAACAACAACAGCATATTGTGGTGCCAATAAAAAAAAAATGAAATAACAAAAGAACTGCAGCGAAACACTGATTACAAAACAAGTCAAAAATAACTAAGAGTAAAACCGACTGCATAATACTTCTTCAATTTCAGAATCTAAATTGAAGTTCTAATCTATTTATAGCAATATCTATGGAGCAGACATCAATTGACACTGAAATTTTACAGTTGTTTACGAATTGAATTATTTACAATATTCTCATATTGCGTGTCTCGTAGGGTCCTCTTCATAAGTTCGCATAAATTTTCAATGGCACTAGACACAGGCCAAGAAAGTTGTCCGATTGGATTTATCGCACGATCTTGAGCTATAGAATTCAGAGCTAAGCAAACTAGACAAAAAGAAAGCAATAAGCTAATTAAAGCAATACGCGTTGGCATTTAAGGAGTTTTAATCATGTTCAGTCGACTAATTAGCCATCATTTAAGAGAAACTAGAGAGATAGCCTGAATCTACAATTAAATTTAAAGACATTTTCAGCTGTATCTTAACCCAGGCTGCTTCAAATGTGTACCCAAAATCGATATACCCATTTCAATTATCGTTTGTGTGTCATCTCCATATATTTCCAAATTGATTGCGCAGCTAGCAGGCAATATAAATAAAAATACAAATACAAATAAAAATCATTTGCAATTGCTAATGTCAACACCTGCGAGCCAAAGTCACGTTCAATGTGACGACATCTACAAATTTTTATATTTTCGAATGCAATTATTATAAATAAAAATTAAAAAGAAACGCAATAGACATAGATAAATTGATAGCCAAATGAGACTCTGTATGCATGTGTATGTGTGCTCACACACATACACACTTAAATGTACTTCAAGCACATTTCACACATATGTGTGAAATTTTGTACGGATCTGGCAGCGCTGAACGTAACAGCTCAATCGAAACTTGTTAATTGGGCGAGCGCAGGTTCGTCATTCAGTCAATTAGAACCCGTTCTTTTTGTATTCCAATTGGAATTCAACGGAAATAGAACAAATGGCTTCTCAAAAATGGAGCGCAGTCTGTGGGCAGGTGGCTACTTCCGTTCCACATTCTCCCACATATATTTTATATGTATGTAAATAAATAATTAATTTGACATACCTCAATATATTGCAATCAATCATTAGGAAAATATACAAATATATCATTGCAAAAATAATTTTATCATTACTTAAATCAAAAATAACAACACAAGTTTTAATTTTACACCCGAGCGACAGAATTGCACTTTTTTTCTCGCATTTGCATTTGCGTGCGTGTGTGTGTGTGTGTGTGTGTGTGTGCGAGTGGGGAGAGGGCAGCAAAGCAACACATGTAAATTATAAGCAACTGCGCGACTGCGACGGTTACTGCGACTGCGACGTGGGCAATGGTTACGGTGTAGACTACAGCGACACCGACGGCGACGGGTGGGCGTAGGGCAGTCGTCGCACAGATCTTGTTAAAGCGAATACGATGCTAAAAGCAAATGGCGAAAAGCAAAACACAGCACCAGCAGCGAATTATGAGCTTGCGTATGTGTGCATGTGTGTGTGTGTGTTCGAGTGTCTGCCGCTTGCATGTGTGTGCGTTGGCGAGTGTATGGTAATAATGTAGGTGAAATATAAGAATCAAATACGAACACACAAAAATGCCAATAAGAATGACGACGTGTGCTAGCAGCAATGACAGGGAGACAACGAGCGAGAGAGGCAGAGAGACGCAGTTGCTTTGATCGCCGAATGAATTGAAAAGAGACAATTTAAATATTATTCACTCCACACATAGAGGTATACATTTGTATGTATATTTATATATTTTGCACGGTAGTTAGGTAACGTTTTGTCTATATGAGTTATGCTCATAATCTTAACACATTCTTTATTGCCTGTGACACACACATACACACAGTTACTCAAACACAGAAAATCACACACACGCACACACACACACACACACAAAACTCATAGCTGCTGCTTCTGGCTGCTCTGCTCTGGCTGCGGAAAGCCAACAAAATCGATATTCTAAAAATAATATACTTTGAAAAGTAAAAAAATATTTATATATATATATACACATATAAGTGAATATATACATATATACGACATATGTACGTATGTATGTATGTATATTTTGAAAAAGCACTAACGAAATTCAATTGTTGCCGCCGGCCCATTACGTGCATTAGCATAAGTGAATATGTGTGCGTATGCGCGTGTGTATGTAGCTATTTTAGTGTGGGCACACATACTTCAACATTTAATTGCATTGAGTTGTAGATATTGATATTTGCAAAATATGTTTAGCTTTTAAACAGTTCTTTTTTTACATTTTTTCTTTGCTTTAATTTGCTTCTTCGCACTCGGTTTTCTTGCGCCCAACCGACGACGACAGCGACGTACGGCAACTAAAACGACGGCGACATCACTGCCGCTGGCGCCGCTGCTGCTGCGGCACAAAGAAAGTCGTTTTTTTCGGTTTGCGCTCTCTGCTGCTGCTGCTTCTGTATGCATGTATTTGGGAGCGTGTGCGTGTGTATGTGAGTGAGTGTATAACTATGTGTGTCTCCCCTAAAGCTCGAGAGCTCTACATCACGAAGCGGAGACCAAAGCAAAGACACAAGAAATAGAAAGAGCACTTGGGCAAACGAAGAACAGAAGAAGAGTAACAAAAAAAAGAACCGTAATAAGCGGCGGCTATTCTTTATTTTTTATTCGCACAATACGGCAACACTGATGCCGACGACAGGTGAAAAAGTGCAAGAAACAGCAACAACAGCTGAAGCAGCTGCAATCGCCTTCTTTTTGCTGTTGTTGGTGTATAGTAAAAGTAGCGAAAATTTGTAGTAGAGATAATATGTTGGGGTTGTTGCTTTTGTGAATCACTAACACTACTACAAGCACACACACACACACACACACACACGTACACATATTTATATATAGTGAGCGAGCTCCAAATGGCTCACCAGTGTATGGGTGTGGTGAGTTTGCAATGAAATAACATCTGTACATGTATATGAAACACTTTTCGCTTACTTAAAAGAACTGAAGAATATTTGCAGAAAACAGAAAGGGAAACACTTAGGCATGTATTATTCTAAATATAGTACATCAAATAGGCACATTTTTAGCAAATTTATATGAAGCCAATTAGTTACAATTCAAGTAGAGCCGGTTCGCAAATAAAAATGTTTAAATATCATCCTGGCAACAGCAACAGCAACAACAACACTCAACACTCACCACAAATGATGATTGTTTTCCGCTCTCCCGTGCTTATGCTGAGCGTAAGTGTGTGTGTGTGATACTGCGCGTACTCTCTTTGCTCTTTCGCTCCCACTCGCTTATAGAATTTGAACACAGGGCACAGTTATTTTGCCTTATTTGCTTACTTCAATTTTCTTTTTTTTATATATATATATAATTTTAGCACATTCCTGACAACGATGTCTGGATAAGCAATAGGTTTGCTGATATAATCTGATGTATGTTAGGACACCACGATTTATATTTTAATTAAATTCACACCTTTAATTTTTGGTAGCAGCGCAGCTGCCGTGCGAAACGCGGCGCACGTACACTCAAAGCGGCGACGACAGCGACAGCAGCAACGACGACAACGACGACGACGACATTCGCATTTTTTCACAGTGCGTTTTGCGTTGGGCTCAACTTTTTTGTTTTTCGTTTGTGATTTGCACTGACAATGGCTCACGCACCTGCCACTATTTCAGTTGAAAATCATTCCTGGCACTTTCATGTACACTTTGCGACTAATTAGTGCAGCCGGTGATAATATTTTATGCCAAAAAATTTCAATTTTGTCAAGCGGCAACTTGGGTTGTTCACACAGACACAGTAGAAAGTGACGCCATCTTTAAAGGGGTCGCAATACGTTCAGTCTGCTGCACAGTGTTGATAAATGCCAGCTAAAAAGGAATCTATCGATATGATTGAAATACAATATTTTCCAATAAAAATATAAAATATATTAAAGATTAAACAATTTTATATAATAGCTGTGAAAATAATAATAAATTCAGTGCATGTGAATTTCTCATTATTATATTTCGTTGATGTGGCAACCTGATTATGCGTCAGTTAGATGGCAGCCTTATTTCGATGACAACTAATCGACTGGCAAAGTGAATCAGAATGAAATTAACGAAACCCAATTGATTGGCTAAACGGTAAAAAAAAGTGTTTAAATTAAGTTAATTAAGAGCAAAGTGGAAAGAGAAACTCTGCGTGTATCGCAGCCTACACAAGCATACGCTTGAACAGTTTTTACGCATAGTGAAAGAGAGAAACTCGAAACAAAGCCATGTCCTCTCTCTCCGCCTCAGCGGAAAATGTTTCCACAATGGGCATTGGCGGCGGTCCCGATTCCAATTCGCATCACGGCTCCGATGGCGGGGGCTCTAGCATGTGTCTGGAGCTGGCCCTGGAAGGCGAACGCCTCTGCAAGGCAGGCGATTGTCGAGCGGGCGTTGCCTTCTTCCAAGCAGCCATCCAGGCGGGCACCGACGACCTGCGCACCCTCTCCGCCATCTACTCACAGCTGGGCAACGCGTATTTCTACCTGGGCGACTATGCCAAGGCCATGCAGTACCACAAGCATGATCTAACTCTCGCCAAATCCATGAACGACAAACTGGGCGAGGCCAAATCGTCGGGCAATCTGGGCAACACACTGAAGGTAATGGGGCGCTTCGACGAGGCGGCCATCTGCTGTGATCGCCACCTGACGCTCGCACGACAGCTCGGCGATCGTCTATCCGAGGGCCGAGCGCTCTACAATCTGGGCAACGTCTATCATGCCAAGGGCAAGCATCTGGGTCAGCGCAATCCGGGCAAGTTCGGCGACGACGTCAAAGAGGCACTGGCCAAGGCCGTCGAGTACTATCAGGAGAATCTGCAGCTCATGCGAGATCTGGGCGACAGAGGAGCCCAAGGACGAGCCTGCGGCAACCTCGGAAACACATATTATCTCCTGGGCGACTTTCAGGTGAAGTTTAATCACTTGGTCCCCCTCCATCTCTCTAATATTCTTCTTCTCCCTTAGGCGGCCATTGAGCATCATCAGGAGCGATTGCGGATTGCTCGCGAATTCGGGGATCGCGCAGCAGAGCGGCGCGCCAATAGCAATCTAGGCAATTCCCACATCTTCCTCGGCCAATTCGAAGATGCAGCGGAGCATTATAAGCGCACGCTGGCCCTGGCCATGGAGTTGGGCGAGCGCGAGGTGGAGGCACAGTCCTGCTATAGCCTGGGCAACACATATACGCTGCTCCATGAGTTCACCACGGCCATTGAGTATCACCATCGGCACTTGGCCATTGCCCAGGAGCTGGGCGATCGCATTGGAGAGGCGCGCGCCTGCTGGTCGCTGGGCAACGCCCACTCGGCCATGGGCAACAATGAGAAGGCATTGGAGTTCGCCGAATCCCATCTGCAGCTGGCCAAGGAACTGCACGATCCCGTGGGTGAGAGCACGGCGCGCGTCAATATATCCGACTTGCGCAAGCTGCTGGGCCTGCCGGAGGCGGAGCACTCGCCCACGCAGGATGACGAACGCTCCAGCGCCTCGGATCATTCAGCGAGCGGACATCAGTCGGATGGCTCCGAGAACTCACAAGGGCGCTTGGTAAAATGGACTAAGCTCAAGCGTTGGCTCAGAGTGTAATCAATTGATATTCCTTTGCAGGTTCGAGTGCGCCGACAGAGCATGGAACAACTGGACCTGATCAAGATCACGCCCGATGGCAAGCGCCTGCAGGAGGAGAAGCACAAGGCGTCAAATGCCGCCGCCCACACCAAAGCCAAAGAGGACGACTTCTTCGAGATGCTCTCGCGCTCCCAGTCCAAGCGCATGGATGACCAACGTTGCTCCATCAAATTGAATAGCGCCGGCGGCGTGGCCGGTGCTGCTGGTGGTGCCTCCACGGGCGCCACTCGCAAGCCCTTGGTGCAGCAGAACTCCCTGTTCGTGGACCCCACCAATCTGCCGGGCTTGAAGTCGCCCTCGTCGGGCGTTCCACCGGCTCTGGGGCATGCGCCGTTGGCACGCAGTGCCACCATCAATCAACAGCCAGACGATGCATTCCTGGACATGCTGATGCGTTGCCAGGGCTCCCGGCTGGAGGAGCAGCGCTCCGAGCTGCCGCGTCCGAATGTCACCATGGATGTGGAGGCGCCTCAAATGCAGGCGCCAGCGGCTGCCGGCGCCGGAGCTGGTGGTGGTGCAACAGGTGGACAGTCGGGCAGCAGGGGCACCACAGTGCCGGACGAGGATTTCTTTTCGTTGATCATGAAGGTGCAGGGCGGCCGCATGGAGGATCAGCGTGCTTCCATTCCTTTCGGCGGCTTCAGCAATGCTCAGCGAAATGCCCGCAATAACCACAACAACAACAACAACAATAACAACACCAACAGCAACAACAACAACGCTGGCGGCTCAGCTAGCGCCAAGTAGATGCGGCCAATTGTCCATTTAGACTCTCCAACAATCTTTATATGTATTTTTTATCAATCATTTCGTTCTAAGATTTATAACCAAAAACTATTTTATTTTTATGCAATCGAGCACACACACTAACACACTCACACACGAGCATGTACAGTGAAAACTCTGCGAAGGAAGAGCTGGAGCTAAAGGTAAAAAAAAACAATCTGGAAATTTTTTTTACTATTCCATTTGGTTAAACAAATTTTATAGAGACCAAATTTAGGCGCAAAACAAAATTATGAAAACCAAGTTCTAAATTAATTAAAAAAAAAATTAACGGAAATTTTTAAAGTAGCAAATTTCAACTTCCGCATTTAATATTCACTGAAATTTAATGAAAACTTGAATTCCAAACTAAAAACTAAAAGCCCTTAAATGAAGAAAATTGTTTAGAAAAAAAACAACTAAAACTAAAGTAAATTTTATACAAAAAAAATTGCAAACTTTAAATGAATTGTGAAAAATTATATAAATTTATTATTTTATTTAACCTAAAGAAAAGCAAAATAACAAGCATAAAATATGTCAGAAACTAAAACTAAATAATTTAAAGATTTAAAAAAATATCATAAATTTATAAATTGAAAAATAAATTGTTAGATTCTAAATTAATTTATATATACAAATTTAAGCCATTCCAACTAAATAACAAACTATTTCAAAAATGAAAAAAGTGAAGTAAATTAATAAGTTTCTACAACTTTATCAAGCCTGTATCTAAAATTTAAGTAAAGGTCCAAGATTGTATATCACAAGTAAACAAATTTGAATGAATATTTTAATATTATAATATTGTTTATAAATTTTATATAATTTATTTTGTTTATACATATTTTTTCCTGATGCTCTTAAAATTGTCAAAAGTCGTAAGAAAAAAACTTTTCTTATATGCATCATATAAGTTCACCTCAAGTCCACCAGGCAGAGTATTCACTGTACAACAGCTCATCATATATTATTATTAACTCTCGCACACTTATACAATACGATATTCAGAAATGCATGCTTCTTAAAACTAAACGAAAAACAAAACTACAAAATATCAAGTTTCTTAAAGATATTAATATTTCAATTGCATGTTACTAGTTCTTAAGTAGAAATAGTCCATAACGAACCATAGTTATATACATATGTATTTTCTTTATACTTTGCTACGTTTTTTTTTGAAGAATCCCAACTCTACGAACTCTAAACATATAAGCAATGGCATTTCTATACAAGCCCCGATTCCATTTGTAACTATGAGTATTTCATTTTCGATCCACTAACATATATGTATTTACATTCATCTACTATATCATTTGATATCATTTCAATTATACTTATATATATTTTTATTCTCGAGATATTAACGGAACGTTGGGTCGCTGCTCTTTAAGATCCAGCGCCGTTTTAAACTTATACAAATACAAATACACACACATATACATACATCTATACATATATAGATTTAGATGTATATGGAATACGATTACGAATATCTATTTAATGTTTACACTCACACAAACACTGATTGATTGATTGATTTATTGATAAAGTGAAGCCAAAATTTATGAATGTTATTGAAGCGCATGCATATGGATTGAATGATTCATGCTCCAGATCGAATCCGATCGTTCCAATGATATACATATGTATGTGTGCCACAAACGTATTATTAAATATTAAAAATCAAAACTGTTTGCTGACTAATTTGTGTTTATTCTCTATCAAGAAATATAACCCCTGAATATATGCCGAGCCTGAGCTGTGGTTAGCTTGATTCATGGATGGAAACAAGAGAAGTCTGGCTATATATAAGCACGTCTTTGACGGACTAGCGACTAGAGTACTTCTAGTATTAAGCATGGAGCAGCCGGAGCTGGTCAGGATTACGCCCGATGGCAAGCGCCTGCAGGAGGAGAAGCATAGCCAAAGAGGACGACTTCTTCGAGATGCTCTCGCGCTCCCAGTCCAGACGCATGGACGAGCCGGAAGAACTTGATTGAAAACTCTCAGAAACTTCGTTCATAAAGCTTTATTCATAAATTAGTCGTCTTAAGTGTCTAGGAAATACATATATGTATGTAGTATAACTGTATATGATATGTTGGCTTGGCTACCCCCAATCGAATCTCGTCTCCTGCGCCAACTCCAACTCGGCCCGAAGGATTTATTTACAAATTCTTTGCACTAACTTAGAAACCAAACGAGGTGAAGAAGCAGAATCCCAAAGGCTGGCACGCCCCCTCTACGCCTTCGCTGGCCTCATGCTCTCCGGCAGAGTGTCGTCCAGCACGAAGATGGGCAGGGAGAACTCCGTGGGTTTCTCACAACCGCCAGCCACGCCCCCCGCATAGTCGTAGGCGTTCTTGTGGATCGAGCCGGCCTTGTGCCAGCCGCGCTTCAGCATCACATAGACGACGAAGACGCTGACGAGGAAGGCCGAGCAGCTGGCCATGACGAACATGGCCAGCTGGACGGACTCATCGGTGGCTGCGGTGGCCGCCTGAGCCACGGCCGGCGCGGCGGTGCGATGGATGAAGTGGGAGCGCGTCAGATCGGGCTGGAAGCGATTGCCCAGCAGCCGGAAGCCACCCGACTGAATGGCCATCTCGATGGCGTAGGCCATGTCCACCTTGGACTCGTTGTGCAGCTCGAAGCGCACGATGACGGAGCCGTCAAAGTTCTCCTGGACGCGCAGATTCTCCACGGCCGAGCCGAGCAGCTGCTGCAGCTCCCGCCGTATGGCATCGTAGACGTTGCGCACGCTGCCGCCGCCGCTGCCGCCGCCGCCGCCGTGCCCCGAGCTGTTGCTCAGGTGCAGCTCAATGGCGACGGACTCGATGGGCACGTGGCTGCACTGGCGCTCGCCCAGCTGGAAGGTGTGCGTCGCCGGCAGCTGATTGCCGGCGGCATCGACGCACCAGCAGCTCCGCTCGCTGCACTGCAGCGGCTCGAAGGCGCCCGCCGCATCGCAGCTGACCGGGAACGTGGCCGTGGCGGCCATCGCGCGGCAGCGCGTCGTATTCAGCTGCATGGGCGCCGTCTCCACGGACAGCTGCGAGTCCAGCAGCGAGTGGGTCAGCTCGACGCTGCGCTCCGTGGGCTGTAGGCGTGCCTCCACTTCGGCCAGATCCAGATCCATGTCCATGTCCAGGCTGTTCACGTCGTTCAGCAGCGTCAGCTGCTCGATGAGCTGCTCCATCAGCGGATCGGCCGGCTCCAGCTGCTTGCGGGCGCGCGCCTGCCGACTGTTGCAGATGGGCTCCGTGTCCCGGGTCAGCGTGCCCTTCAGCGGCGCGCCCTTGCGATCCGCGCACCAGCAGACGCCATACGGACTGGCCAGCTGCGCCGAGGGAATCTCCGTGCTGCTGCTGCTGCTGGCAAAGGCGCGACTGACAATTTGGGAGCTGCTCGTGGCGGCCAGGGCTGGCTGCTTGCCCAGGCACTGCACGGGACTCCAGTGGCCGGTGATGGGATCGCAGCGCGGCTGGAACCAGACGGAGGAGTGTCCAGTGCGCTGCGCAGCCAGGCTGTTCTTCAGCTTGAGACGTTCGCAAGGCGTGAGCACTGAGAGAGGGAGAGAGAGAGAGAGATTAGGTCTGCCTTCATTGGGTGCTCCTCTGGTACTTACCGGGACAGACGGCGTGGCAGGCGAGCTCGTTGTGGAAGAGATTCTTGGTCTGGCAGGCGGGCGCGTCCGCGTCTATTTGAATGGCCAGGCACTTGTTGGCCTTGGGACTGAAGCGATAGCGTGTGAGGTTGCGTCCGCTCTGGCCGCTGGCCAGGCACTGGGCGTCCATGGACTCGAAGCAGACGTCGCGCGTCTTGGAGCAGCAGACGCCGCGATTGCTCACCGGGTTCAGGTGGCAGGTGTGCGTGGTGGGGCAGCTCTCCTGCTCGCTGTGCGGGCCGCAGGTGACGTCCTGCTCGCCCTGCTGCAGCGGCTTGCCCTCGGCGCAGACCGAGTCGCGCCTCGGCACACAGATGGGCATCTTGGGGCAGGGCGTGTCCACGCACTCGACGCTGATCAGCTGGCACTCCTCGTCGCTGGCGCAGCTCAGCTCGGCGCAGTAGTCGCGGCACTCGCAGGTCGGGCAGCCGTGATCGTCCATTTGGAAGCCGCTGTCGCAGCTCGTCGAGCAGTTCGGGGGGCTGCACGCATAGCTGGAGTTGGCTGTGCAGGTGGGCGTGGCCGGTGCTCTGACGCGCGTGCCGGGCATCGGCTCGCCCTGCTCGCTCACGCACCAGCAGCTGCCGTCGGGCGTGCACTGGACCTGCTCCCACTTGCCCGTCTGCGGATCGCACTGGGCGATGCTCATCTGGCGCGCCGGGATGCCCAGCTCGGAGCTCTGGTGCAGCTGGATGGACTGCAGGTGCTGGCAGGCGGTCTTCAGCTGCGGCTCCACGCACTGCGTGCCGCAGCCGTTCGAGCAGCAGCGGCGCGTGCCCTCGCAGTGGGCGTCCGTGCGGCACTCGTAGCTGCAGACGTTCGTGTCCAGGTTGTCCGTGGGCCCCGGCGGCACCAGGTAGGGGCACTGGCCCGGCTTGCGGGGCAGGCAGGCCGGCACCGGCGGGCAGTACTCGCCCTCGCAGCTGACGTCGACGATGCGGCACTCCTTGCTGGCGCCGCAGTCGACGTTCTCGCAGGGATCGCGGCACTGGCAGGCCGGGCAGCGGGTGTGCGGATCCAGGGTGAAGCCGTACTCGCAGCCCATGCGGCAGGTGAGGTCCAGGCAGTCCAGTTGCTCCCTCAGCTCCTGGCAGCTCTCGTCGCTCACATTGTAGCCCCTCGACTTGGGTATCTCGGTGCCGAAGCTGTCCACGCACCAGCACTGCTCCACCTCCATCTCGACCATGTCCTCGTCCGCTGGCGTCGTTCGCTTCGCTGCCGTCGCCACCTTCTTGAAGTCCGTGGCGAACAGCTGCTGCTCCACTGCCCCCACGTCGATCACCTTGGCGCTGCGTCCCATTCCGTGCACGGGCGCTCTCGCTCCCTCCGCTGCCACGTGCACCTTCAGCGCGCTGTCGTCCACCCGGTAGAGCTTCAGGCGTTCCGTGTCGCGGCGACTCCGCCTCGCCCCGGCCAGCAGCATGCGCATCCGCCGGATTGTGTTCTGCTCCAGGATCTGGCGCTGCTCGGCGCGCGTCACTCGAATCTTGCGCAGCTCACACTGCCGTCCCGCATAGTCGCCCTCCTCGGTGCAGCGCGGCGCTGGCATCGCCAGCTGCATGCCCGCCTCGGTGCCCTCCATGCGCTCCGAGAAGTCCCGCAGATATTCGCACACTGCAAAGGGAATGGGAGGAATCGATTAATCATGGGTGATTGATTGATTGACTTGTTGATTGATGAAGTGATGAAGTAATGACTGATTGAAGTAAAGACTTCTTGATTGAATGATGAAGAAATCAGCTGATTGACTACTCGATTGATTAATTGATTGATTGATTGGCGTATCATATCAATGGTAAGTGCCTGATTGATTTATAGACTACTGATAGATTGATTGATTGTCCTTTTGAGTGTCTGATTGAAATACAAAAAGAATTTCTGCTTGAATGATTGATCAGCTAGCTGATTGATTGCTTGATGAAGTATGCAATTGCTTGATTGATCATACGGTTGACTTATTGATTGTGTAATCTAGTGTCTCATTGATAGAATACCTTGATATAGTATATGATTGAATGACGAATTGTGACAATAATTGACTGATTGATTGACTCCAGTGTCTGATTGATAGAATATCTCGATACAGTAGAAGACTGACTGATTGATTGAATCAATAATTGACTGATGATTGAATGACGAATTGTGACAATAATTGACTGATTGATTGAATCCAGTGTTTGATTGATAGAATTTCTCGATATAGTAGACGACTGACTGATTGATTGAATCAAAAATTGCTTAATTGATTGATTTCTCTAGTGATTGATTGATATATTTTCTTGTTATAGTGAGTGAGTGCATCAATAATTGATTGATTGATTGAATGATTCAGTGTCTGATTGATTGTTGATTGATTGGCTGACTAAACGATGCATACTATTGATTGACTGACTTCATTTCCCTTCTAACTTACTGGTTTGCTGTCTCGTCGTTGGCTGATCCTCTGATGGTCCCGTGGCCGTCGTCTGCTCCGGCAGCGGGCAGCAGACGCTCTCCGGTTCGCGGTGCAGCTTGGTGCACTTGTACTGCTCGGGGCACATGATGTGATTGCTCATGGAGCGACCCTGCTTGGACTCCGGCTCGGGCTCGAAGAAAGCTGTGGGCTGGAAGCTGCGCGCCTGGCGCTCCTCGAAGCAATACATGACCTCGCCGCTGGCCGTGTCCGTGAGTGGGGTGCCGATGTCGCAGGGATTGGAGTAGGCCAGATCCGGTTTGCAGACGGGCCAGGAGGCGCACAGCGAAGAGCCGGACTCACAGAGTGGATCCGTGGCGACCTCGCAATGGGAGCCCAGGGCGCACTTGAAGCCCTCGCAGGGCTCCGAGCACTCGCAGGTGGGACAGCCGTTGTGATCATTCTAAGAGCGGGAGATTGGGAGATGCGTGAGTGAGTGCCTAGCAATGGGCTCTCCAGTTGAACTCACCTTGAATCCGTATTCGCAGACGGCGGCGCAGATGTTCGTGTCGCATTGCTCCATTTGGAAGCTGCGCGCGTACGAGCGACTGATCATGTTCTCCCAGCCGTCGCAGTTGACTGTGTTGGCCGCGCCCATGGACTCCTTGATCTTGTGCCCGGTGCGCGGATCCACGCACCAGCAGACGAGTCCGTTGCGGGAGCACTGGCGCGGCGAATACTGTCCGCCGGGTCCGTTGCAGTCGGGCACATAGCCGCGCCCCTCGCGCTCATTCAGCGCCAGGAGATCGGCCAGGGCCTTGGCCTGATGGCATCCGGTCATGTTTTGCGGCTGCTGGCAGTTGAACTGGCAGCCCTTGGTGAAGCAGCACTTCTCCAGGTTGCGGCACTCCAGGTCGTGGCTGCAGGGCGCGCCGCACATGTAGCCCGTGCGCTCCGTGTACGTCGATTGCTCGGGTGCCGGACAGACGCCGGGCTTCTGGAAGGTCAAGGCACTGGGACAGCAGACTCCGTAATCGTTTCCAGACTCCACTAGGCACTGGTAGAGCGGCGGACACTGCGGCTTGCCGGCATCCAGTCCACACAAGAAAGGCCTGACGCTGTCCTCAATAGCCAAGGGCAATCCGGCCGGACAGTAGTTGGCCAGGGAGCGCGCCTTCTTGCAGGTGGGCAGCGGCGGGCAGGGCTCCGACTTGCATTGCACCTCCTGCAGCTGGCAGGTCTGACCACGCGGACACTCCAGGCCATCGCAGGGATCACGGCAGCGACACACGGAACAGCCCGTCTGCGGGTCACGCGCAAAGCCGGACGGACAGAACATGCGGCAGGCGGAGGCGGCACAGTGCGCCGGCTCCTGACACTGCACGCCGGCACGCGTGGCATTCCGACTGCCCGGCAGCTCCACGCCGTACTCATCGATGCACCAGCAATCCTCGCCAGCCCGTTCATTGGCGCACTGCACGCTCTCGAACTCTCCGGTCTTACGGCAGCGCGGAATGCGCACGGCGCCTCCTGCTGGCTGCAGCGCCTTGGCACGTCGCGCCTCGGCCCGCCTCAAGTGCTGGCAGGCAGTTAAATTGGCTGCAAGTAGAGGGTAACAAGAGGGCAAGGGGCGGGTGAGTCAACGTCAATGGGGGCGCTTGGCACACTTTCGTGTTATTCAACCGGGCAAAAGCGAAGAAAAAACCCAGCTGCAGAGTCGGTTTCACTTTTAGCGAACGTGACGCGTTTATTGTGAATGAAACGACAGACGGACAGCAAAGTGTAAGCGAGTGCAAGTCGAGTACGCCCGACTAGCAGATACCCAGCGAAGAGCTTCAAGGAAGACTAGTTGAATAGTTGAGACCTAGACCAAGGATTGGTTTCGGAACTGTATTATACTAGCTATATTTTAAATTGTAAATCAAAAACTATGAAATTTATTAAGAAATCTTAAAGTTTGTATATCGATATATATCGATTTAGTGAAACACTGCTTTAATTGATGAACAATTAAACGTATTATTTTATATATGATTTTCGCTTTCTATATACGTGTGTCTGGTTTTACATTTCAGAATTAAACAGTTTCTAAAGCAGAAAGAAACCAGTAATCGATTTATTTATTTATCGATTCATTATAAATCAAAGAAAAAGCAACAAGAGGATTTATGTGTGCGAAATTTAGGCCGTATTATCCATTGAAAGCATAATAATGCTTAATATAAGGTAAAATGTTATATAGTTCCATATCGATAAATATCAATTTTTAGCTTTAGTCTAATTTGGTGGAATAACTCTGAACAAATTTATAAGAAACATGAGCAAATCTAAGCAACATAACATATAACTAAAATAGTTCCTTATTAATATCGATATTAATCGATATTGGCTTAACTGTATGGGTAGAAAAATGTGACAAAAAAACTTGAATGGAACTTTGATGCATTCAATAATAGCGCTCATTAAGTCCTATATATTGTACTAAACTCAAAGAGCTCCACTGCAGTCAATCGATTTTTATCGATTCATTTGATTCATTTCTGATACCTGCAAAGCATTGTTAAGTCAGCCACTTGTCAAACAAGCTAACAATAATATCAATAACCTCCATAAAAATTTACTTTTAATGAGAGTATTCACTATCGTCTATATGGAGTATATAGCAAGAAAAAATACTTATTAAAAATTGTGGCAAATGGCAGCTGTTAATTGTTGTTGACTGTTATTTGTTGGTTATCTCAGGGCCAACATTGTATTTGCCTTTGTTTTCGTTTTGTATTCGCATTGCGCTTGCTATTGGCCAAAGCGGCGTATGCGCAATTAACTGAAATGGCCTGAACCATTAACGCCAAGCGACGGATGCTTTGCTATGAGCATTCTACAAAAGGCACAGTCATTGTCTATTGCTCGCTCGCTGCTTATGTAATTGAGGTACATCATATAGCTCTTAACTAATACCCTACCCCACCCCCGCCGCAGTCTTGCCCACTCGTGGTTTAGTCTTATACGCAACGCTGCCTTTTGGCATTTCGCAAAAGTCGAGACGACGCGCTCGCTGAGCTTCAGTTCGTCTGTCCGTCTGTCCGTCTGTCCAATCACGTAATGCATTCGAAATGCATTCGATAATGGAGCTGTTGACGGACCCAAGCTGACCCTTGGGCCACATGTGAATAGATCATCTGCCAGCGGAAGTCATCTCAGAGCTAACTATTTGGGTAATCAGAAAAGTGAAAGTTTCGCCTTTTCTTTGCTTAAATTCAAGATCTTCAGTAAGCCTATTGTACTATATAATGTGTAATTGTAAATCTCATCTCATATCTTTACCTCATATAACCACATTATCTATTCAACATATGATTGTACCTTTGATGTTATATATTTTCCTTCCATTATATAAACCACATCCGCACCAAACCAAATACGAAATTTTGCTGTAGAAAATGTACATCCATATATAATAAACGATGTAGAGCTGCAGCTTTCTTCTAACTTAAGATCACTAAGCAATATAACTGTTGGCATTTTCTGCCTTGAATACTTCTCTAAATTAATCAAGCGAACATAATTCGTTGGCATTTTCTTAGAAAAAACTAGATTTGATTTTTTCTATGTAGAAATTTATTGGGCGCGTTGAATCTATATCCGATTTCAACTTTAATAGGCTTAAATGTTTTCTGAGTTTTTTGCAGAATTTAACAGTTTCAATATATGCCGGGTCATCTATTTCTCCTATCTCCTGTCTCTCTTCTAGTTCTACCTAGATGTCTCCATCTATCTCTATGCACTCCGCCCTCAATCCCTCTCTATAGGTACCATTCTCTTCTCTGTAGATCCTAATACTCACTGTCTCTGTCTTTATATCACTCTCGCTCTCTTTCTCTCTCAGTATCTCTCTCTCTCTCTCTTTCTTAGTATCTCTTATTACTCTCTAACATAATTTCTATTCCTCTGAATCTCCCTCTATCAATGTTTCTCTTCCTCGCTCTGTTCCTCTAATATATAGGAAATATATATCAATTTTATTTATATATGACAAATCCCAATGACAACTGCTTAACTCTTGATGGGCTATATAATTGTATTACAGATTTTAAATCAAGATCTCTCATAGACTTATCTGTTGAGCCCCACCTTTGCTTTCTATTGACAAACCTTTCGTATCAATGAATACTTAAGTTTACCATAAATTTGATTAGATATCAGTTTATGTAAATATATGTGCATTTCCCCCATCAGATCCCAGTCAAGTCTCTGTCCATATGTCGTTTTCGCACTGTCTCATCCCTCTACATGCCTGCATATCTATCTTAAAAGCATGTTTATTTTATTGTCATACCAACATCCGGCTTGCATATTCACTGCTATGTTAATTGCTAAATTTTTACCACGATATTATTTTTTGCTTGCTTGCCTTTTTTTTTTTTTTGAGCTCTTTTCACCAGAAATTAAATGAAAGTTTCTGTGTTTTTTTTTTGTGTGTATATCAATTTTTTTTTTTTTTTTGGCAACTCCTCGAGTTGTGTTTGTGATTTTGGTATTTCGATCGAATGTCTCAGTTGGCTTTGGCATTCGGTTGTCGCTTCATGAATGAAAACAAAAACCAATTAAAAGAAAAATGATAAAAGCGGCGGCAGTGGGAAACGTGATTTATTCTACTTTGGGGGCGAGCGAAATCAAGTTTGTCGCCTAAGTCTTTCGTTCGCAAGCGTAACGAAAACGAAAACAAAAGCCGCATAGCCGAGACCACCATCACCCGCCCTCCCTCCCCTCCCTAGGCTCGTTCGCTCTGACCGACTGACATACTCATACCGCGTGCTTCCTCTTCTAGCCAGCTGTGCGCGTGTGTGTGTGTGTGTGTGTGTGTGTGTAACGGCTTTTCGGCCAGTCTATTTCAAGTTCGTGCTTCGAGTCTCGCTGCGGGCCCCCGGGCTAAGCGCTTTTTAATGATGGCCGCGCTATATTTAGCGCCCGTTCGCCGTGTTCTACACGAATTTCCCAAACACGCTAATTGCCGCATGCATTTTGCAACATTTGCAATTGGCTTTTAACGATCCAAGCAACTTGCTCCACATAAACAACTCGGCGAACGGAGTTCATTGACTGACCAAAAAAACAAACAAAAATAAGCAAACTGAGTCAGGAAACCAGAAAGAACGGTTAAGCAAAGTTGGACGCACTCAAAATACTCTTGCAGAGACTTTTATAGAGCAGCGGCACATACAGTGACAGCCAAAAGTATTGAAACCTTTATGTTGCATAGAGCCCATAGTGGTACCAAGTAGATAGTATAATATTATAACATCATATCAAGTAGATAGTATAAGATTATGAAATATACATTATAATACATTATTCTTGATCTGGTTTCGTAGGTCTGTCCGTCCCTCTGTCCATATGTGGGAACTCTTCGATTTTAGAACAGTTAGAGACCTGAACTTTTGCCGATGTTCCACTTATGCCAGCACGTATCTGCCCTACCTATATATATGTATATATAGTCTATCATCTAGGCATGCATACAGATGCAAGCTAGATTGCTTGAAGCAATAGCTTAGTCTGAGTTTTTCTTGGCATATTTTAATTAAAATATACTACTTTGATTTTTCTACAATAAGTTTACACAGTCAAAAGTTTCCATAATACCAAATAATCCTTGGTAATCCTAAGCTCAAGATGATTTGTGCAACCAAATTTCACTTTAAGCTAGACAAGCAGTTATCCCAGATGAATTCAGTAGACACTGATGCGGATTACGAATATATATATACACATATATATATATATATACAAATTTTAGTATCTTCTCTGAGTTCTTCGCTGAGTTACAACCTCGTCTACAGAATCGTATTATCCCAGATGAATTCAGCAGACACTGATGCGGATTACGAATATATATACACACACATATACTTATTACAATTTTACGTCTCTTCTCTGAGTTCTTCGCTGAGTTACAACCTCGTCTACAGAGTCGTATTATCCCCCTCATCTGGCGTATGGCGCTAGCAGTCATTGACTCTTGCTGCCTGCCTGCCTGCCTGCTTGCCATGCGTGTGGCATGCAGTTGCCCGTTTTATCCCTGCCACGCCCACATTTTTGGTGTTCCACTTACCAGTTGAGCGCTTGCCCTGCGCAGCTTGCAGCGCTAGCAGCAGCAGCAGCAGCAGCGAGAAGAGCCTCAGCCAGCGTTGTTCACAATGCAGCGGCATTTCGAGACGCAAACATCAAAAAAAACAAAAAAAAGTTGCCAAAAAGAGGTGGAAAGAGATTTCCTGTTTTTTGTGGCAGCAGCTGCAAAAAAAAAAAGAGAGTTAACATTAAGTACAGCTATGCAAAGGTGTGTGAGTGTGTTATGTTGTGTGTCACGTTTGACGTCACATGCTAGCGTTGTGCTTCAGCGACCGAAACCGGGCATGAGAAATGAGAAATGAGAAATTCAAATTAATATTCAAAAAAAAAAAAAAAAAAAAAAAAAAGCAAATCTGCATACGAATACTTTCACTAGACGGTGTGCTTATTGTTTTTGTTTTGCATTTGAGTGGCTAAAGAATTCGTTGGATGTGAACTGGAAATTGATGGCTGCATAATATTTAGATGCTAGACCATTGCGCAATAGGCAAAGCGGAAGCCTTAACCGATGCGCGGAGCTACGAACAAAGCTCGGGTCACGGGCTGCAGTCATTGTCTGCATGGCTCATAATATTTAGCAGTTGTTGTTGTTGTTGTTGTTGCTGCTGCTGCTGTTGTTGCTTCCATTGAAGGCGAGTGATTAATCTGCGCTTTCACTTTGCCAAGCATCGACCAAGCAACGGCAATTGCGGCGACGGCATCTGCTGCCAGTGTGTACAAGATTTTTGCCAGCACTGTTGAAATTCACTTTTTTTTTCTCTCTCCCTCACTCGCTTATTCGCTCTTTGTGCGTTTTCCGGTCCATTGCCAGCAATGATGACGACGCGTCGCTCAGCTTTAATCACACCACGATTTATTTTCACTAATTATAATGCACACAACAACAACAACAACAACAGCAGCAGCAGCAGCAGCAGCTGGCCTAAACAGCTGATCGCCTAATAAAATCCAATTGGAGTCGAACAAAAAAACAAGTTCGTTGCCTAAGTCATTTGTATTTTGTTTGGCGTCTTCTCTTTTTGTTGGGTGAAAAGTGTTTTCTTGGGCACTTGAAAAGATGACAAGCGTGCTGCAACAACAACAACAACAACAATAACAACAACAATGACAAACAATTTATTTGCTGAAAAAAGCAACACAGCCTACAACAACAACAACGAATACGGAACTAGCCAAAAAAAAGGCCAAAAATTGTATAGAAAATCTGCTGCTGATATTTTCTTTAGAGGTGCCCTCGTTTGTATATCGAGTAAGTAAACTATGGTGGAGTTCAGGTTAGATATCATATATATCATATATATCAGATAAATGTAGGAGAGAAGTATGTAAACAGAGACTGCTAATGAGCTTTCTAAACCCTGAGTAAGAGCAGCTAGGGTAATACTATTTCCAATAACTGAATATCTCACGGCTCACTTATGCTAGCACTATAATTCGGCTATACGAATTTTCAATAGGGCTTGCCAATTAATTAGGTATATAATTATAAATTGATTGCAATACATGCGGATTCAGTTATACATATAATTCTTTCTGTATCTCTTAAGACTTTAAATTTGTTTTATTTGATAGGACTTAGGATCTCAACTGTTGTTAGATTATTTTAAGTACATGCCTAGAATACCGTATTTTTTACAATCCCTGGCTATTTCTAATATAAATCTACTTATGAACCCATATCTCTCCCTGTTCTAACTGTTCTAAAAACTGTTATATTTTATACCCAAAGACAAACATTTGAAGGCTCCCAAAGTTCTTTAGCCCACATATGTATATATGCCAAGGGTATGGTGCATGTAGACTCTAATTACTCTCAGTCAACTGTTCTTTCCAGTTAGCCATTTGTTTTTTTCCAACTCGTTTGGGCTATTGTAAGGTCCCACCTTAAACCAGGCCAAACAGCATTTCGTTCACCTGCGAGATTTTCCCTCATTTGGCTGCAAAATGAAATTTCACGCTTTGCTTGAACTTGAGGCGATTTTTTCCCCGTTGTTCGCAAATGTTTTTCTGCTGTTGTTTTTTGTTTTTTAGAGATGCAAAGATTTCACCATGGCCAAAAAGTTAACTAAAATCAACTTGGCTAAGCTTGAGCTGCTTGTCATTGAAATTTTTGCAGGCACTGTTAAGGCACTGTTGACCCTGTCACATTAGCTGCTTTGCTATGCTTGGCCTGGTCTGGCCTGGCCCTAGCCGCCGTATGACAGTTAGTAGAGTGTAAAGTTTAACGATTGGTGAAACGAGGTCACATGGGATGGGCACCCCATAAAGGGAGGGTAAGGGAGAGAATCCCTTGGGACAGATGCTGACAAAGAGAGAGAGAGACAGAGAGAGAGAGAGAGAGAGAGAGAGAGGTTTCCTAAGTGGAGTTTTAGTAGGAAATTCCTTGATCAAAGTACTTGAGCTTAGGTCTAATATTAAGCTATTATCTATGAGAGAGAATCTTTAGTTACGTATTGCTAGAAATGTAAGGAAATTATATAACGCAGAGAATCTTTGACCAGGCTCTAGGAAAACTGTTAATATATTAGAGCATCTTGAAAATTTGATAACTTGTGTTATTAGCTAAAGAAGCTAATCCCTTACCAACACTCTTAGATTACTAAGAAATCTCTCAATTATCCCAACAACAATAGGCTGGGTAAAAAGTGGGACTCGCAGCTCTTAGCTAGTCGAAAGAATCTTTGGCCAAATCATGGCAGAAATAATGCCAGCCCAAGCAATTGAGGTGTCTGTCTGTCGCCCCGACTTTTTAAGCATTTGAAAGCTGCTCCAAATTCGGGCCGAGCTGAATCACTTTTTGACTTTTTGGCTTTAGTTTCGGTTACTTTTTTTTTGGGGGTTTTTTTTGCACGGTTTTCTGCTACAGTTATTATTGCGTGTGCGCTCACTTGCGAAACGCTTCCAAGTGCTCAAGCTTTTCCACAGTCTAACGGTGCTTCGCTGGGCTTTAGCGCAGTTAAAGTTGGGTTTTTAAATTTTTTATTTCTTTCTCTTTTTCGGCCGAGTTGTAAATTGTCCATATCGCGTTTTGGACCTACCACCGCGCACTGCTGCGCCCATTTACAAAGTTTGTTTATTATGATTGGGTAATAAGCCTATTTGTGTTGATTTTTACCACTCTTAATTACAATATGATGTCATCCGGCTATTATATTTCCACCGTATCGATAAAGTATGACGAACCAAATCATAGATTGTCGTATGTGCCCAGTGTAGGCTCAACTTTGCTTGATAAACTATACTCTGTAATTGAAAACTGTATGAAATTTGGATTGTTTTTTTTTGTTTGTTTTCAAGTTGAAAATTGAGAGCAAGCTGAAATCGGCTTAACTTGATTATTTTCTGTGTTATTTAATTTATATGTTCAGCTCAGGCCTTGAGATGAAGCCTGATGCAGCTTGAACATAACTCTTTTTATGGTAATTCATGTCTGGGGAGATAATAAGCAGCTTCTTCAAATATTTATTTGAATAGCTAGATTTTAGTTTTTTCTTTGTGTTCTCTTTTTTTTTTTTTTTTTCTTTTAACTAGCTGATTTTGATTAGGTTTAACTCTGGTTTTAACTGCATACAAAATACATTATATAGGATTTGCCAAACTTTAGCTCATATAAGAAAAAAACAGTTTCATACTGATTTCCCATTTTCATGGGTTTAGGGTATAAAAACAATGCAAATCTAACAGCCTCGATATGATAGATTTTTTTTTTTTTTTTTTTTTAGAAATAAGTTTAAAGCAGTTTTATTAGCTTAATAGGTATATGTAAATTAAACAAAAAAAATATTTTTAAACAAAAAAAAAAGTAAATAGCAAAATATTAATTAAAAAAAAAAACATAAAATTTCTAGAATTTCTATCTATGAACAAGTTGGCTGGAAAATACCTATTCACTGCCAAACGCTGCCCAATTCATTTTAACCAGTGGGCGTGGCTAGTAAGAAACGTAACAGTAACCCTCGTGCTTCATGTGAGCAATCTATTCCATCCGATTTCCACTTTCGTGAAGTATTAAAAGTGTGTGCAGAATTCATTATTTAAATTAATTTTTTACACACCACATATTGTTAATTAACTTAAATTACACAATATTAAGCTAATAAATGTCAGCTGGATTTTTATTATTATCATTTGAATAGTTTCAAATCAGATTTCTGTGGCTGCTGTTGAATTGACCTTCGTAAGAGTGCGCAAAATATTTGCCTAAAGCTCGAATCAGCTATGTCTGTTTGCTGAGCTAATGCGTTGCTTGTTATTCATTGTCGAGTACGAAACAAAATGCCAGCGGGTCGCCTTGAGACAACCAAAAAAAAAAAACAAAAAGAAAAAACTGAGTTTTGGATATGGATTGAAGTGTTCAAGATTGGCAGACGACATATTTATGAGTGTGCCCATAAAAGTTTCCCAGTTTTCGATTTCAGTTCAGGGGGCAAGGGGGAAATTATTGCTCAACAAACCTGTTGTCCAATCAGAGTACGAATTCCAATCAGAGTGCGGCTAATCCAATGAAAAGTGAAACTATTTCTAGTTGCGAATTTGTGCTTTAATCCAAGTGCACTTGGCTCTCTGGTATGCGCTTATTTTTATTTCTTTTATTTTTATTTGTATTTTTTAATTTTTTAGGCGCTGGGCTTTAATTTGCGATTTTCACAATTTCACTTGCACAGATACACAAACAGACAGACATACATATATATATATTTATACACACTCTGCACATGCACTCACACGTAGACAGTCTCGTAAATTTGATTTTCACTTTGAATTTCTTTGAATTTCTCTCGTAACGTATTTTGAAATTCGCGTGCGACTTGAACGGCGAACAAAGCTCATTTGAGCCATCGCTGGCACAGCACCAGAGCCCATAGTGGTGCCCCGCTCGTTATGGTGGTGCTCTGCGGCTCAGCTCTGTCGCTGGTTCGATCCAACATGTTGCATGCGAATTTCGAAAAAAAAAACCTCTCAACTGACGCATGTGAATTTTCGGTTTCTTGTTGGGAATTTTGAAATCGTTTTGAACTATTTTTGTTGTTGCTAGTTGAGTTTTGAGTCGTGTCGTGACACGCACAAGCACGAGTCGCAGAAGTTCGTTGGCAACTTAATGCTCTGTGATTCAGTTGATAGTTTATTTTTTTTTGTTTTATTTAAATAATTTATTTTTAATTTAAATATTTTAATATAGGCATTAATTATATATTTTTGATTGAAATCATAATAGATATATTTTTTTTTAATATTTATTTTTATAAGCTCTACATTTAGCTGAGAAAATTGACTCTTTTTAGGTATTTCATTTCGGAATAAACTCATTATATATGATAAATGCTCAATTCCAATTGGAATTGGTTCGCTTCCAGAAGTCTCTGATGCCCTATGCTAGTTTAGAGTAGCCCACTTCTAATGCTCGTCCATTTTCACTCTAAAGGTGCGCCGTCTGCTCATTCATGCACGCACCGCCACACCACCGCACCACACGCTCCCAGGGCACAGGCGGCTTGATTCATAGAGTTCAATTCAAGCGTTTGCTATGTACAGCAGTTCGTCAGGTGCGTGACAACCTTCATTGGCCGACGGCCACGACGGGGTAAACCCGAGATCCATCCAACAACCCGGCTGACTCAGTGTGACGTCTACAGTGGCGGATATATGTCCGAGATCTGATCTGAACTGATCTCAGCCAAGGGCAAATCTTTAACACATTTTCGTTTCAAGTTTTTGCTGCCAAAACAAATTTTTTTTATTTATCTTATTTTTTTCTCTCTCTTATTTGTTTTGAACCCACTTCCGCTTCGCTTGGTTTTCGCACGCTTTTGCCATATTTCAATGACTTTCTTCTTTAATTTCATTAATAAAAGCTGATCGAGCCATCATTAAATTAAGTGCCGTCTGTGTAGCTCCGTCTCACAAAAGATATTACCAAAAGTTATGGCAGAAGCGGGAAAAGTTGAAAAAAAAAGTTGCTCTGACAATAAGTTACGAACTTACTCTTTTTGGGTGGGATTTTAATGATCTACCTTTTTTTTTTTAGTGGGTATATAGACTTGTGCATGACGCTTGTCCATCTTAAATTGGGTGTATTAAAGAGAGATTTTTTACTCTCAACTACAAAAACTTTCTTAGAGAATCTGATTGCTTTACGATCACTAAAATATACGATATATGATTTAAATTTGTGTAAATTTTGACATATAATGATATTAAATATGTGTGTAGTTAGTTCTATTGCTATATTTATTATTTCATTGTTTATCTTAACTCTCTTAGCTCACTCTCTCTCTTTATTCTGACAGTCTTCTGCTCTTACTTCAAATGTCTTCTTCACTCTTTCTCTCGCTCTCTCTATCTTAACTCTCTTAGCTCACTCTCTCTCTTTATTCTGACAGTCTTCTGCTCTTACTTCAAATGTCTTGTTCACTCTCTCTCTCTCTCTATCCCTCATTCCTACTCTCTCTCTTTCGCTCTCTCACTTTCAGTCCCAGTCTTAATCCTGCTCTACCTTAAGTACTTTTTCATATATATATACATAAACTTTTTTAACATTATTTATTCCTTTAGCTTCCCTCGCCCTTTCTCCTTATCTGTCTTTCTTTTTCTTTCTCACTACTTCTACTTTCTCGCTCTCTCCCATTTTACTTCTTCTTTATAGCCATACTCATCTATAGATATTTCCGAAATTATCTTACCTTGCCCTCTTCCCTCACTCTCGCTTTGCCTTAAAATCTCTCTCTCTCTCTGTCTCTCAATGTTCTCCCTCTTTCATTTAGGCCATCTATCCACAGATAACCCAACAGGAAACAGCAATTTAAAGCTATGCAAGCCATCCATGCTCTGGTGCAGCTCCAGCTGCACAGCTTAAAGGCCACGCCTCAAATGTGTCACACCCCTGCAGCAGAGCTAACTGCCTGTTTGTCATCTGGCGTGTGTGACGTCTTCGCCAGGCGAGTGAAAGTGAAAGTTCTGTGCGCCGGTTTTATACGGCCAACCCGAGCTGTCGCCGAGTCGGCCAATATCAAAACGAGGCTAACAAGTTTCATAAACATCAAAATCATCTGAAATATATATAGGTACGGTAAATAAAAGCCCTCATTTTGTTCAGTGTTTTATTTTGTTTATAATAAACTAATTTGTTATATATATAATATATTTATATATATATATTTATTAATGACTTTTAACTAGTTGTTTTTTTTTTGTTTTGTTTGTATATTTCTGTGTTGTCAAAGAATATTTGATTTAAAACTCTTGTAGAACAAACAAGTCTTGAGTTTGATAATTTATTAACTTTACATTGTGAACTGTGCACTGACTAAGGAGTTGGAGGGAAGGGAGAGCTGGCAAGTATTATTGATTATTAAATAAAATTAGGAATAAACAATTCTAAATTCGATTTGAAAACATGTTTGATGAGCTCGAAGGAAAATGCATGCAGCAAATTAGTTTTGCTTGAATTTGAGTTATTTTGCTTTTGTTTTTGTTTACATTTTGTAACAGTGTTGGGATTTGTATATATAGTATTTATACGCATGCATGTATATTTAAAAAGTGGTTGACAAGTGCCTTTTGATTCTGTTTGTTTTTTCTGTCTCTAGTTACACAGTGCATTTCATTTCATCTGTTGTTGCTTTTGTTGTTGTTGTCCGAGTGGAAACCTTAGGCTTAATTTTGAGTTTTTTTCTGGTTGTTTGAAATCGAAAATTTGTTTGCATTATTTATAATCTTTTGTTATTGAAATTTGTTAGTTTAGTTTTGCTATTTTTGCTTTCTTTTTAATTAAAATTTAAGTTACATATGTGATTTGTTATTGGGCGCATACATATATACATACATACATATATATATGCATAAATTACGTATAATATATATATATATGGTTTATATTTACATTCATTATTTCTTGTTCGTTCTCTTTGCTCTTTTGTTGTAAATATTTGCACAGAAACAAAATACTATATTAGTTTTCTTCTTCTTATTTTTTTCAGTGTATTATTATCCATTATGTATGAACACAGTATTTAGCAGATTTATGATTTTTTGTTTGTTCTCAACTATCTGTTATAAAGATCACTTGTTCTTCTTCTTTTGCCTTTGCTAAAAATGATTTTAAATGTCTTTTTGTTGTAACTAGCAAAAAAATAAAAAGAAAACGAGTTAATTTAAGTAAAGTAAAGAGAAAACATAATCAATTGCTTAAATAAATTCTAACAACACGCTTAAGCTATATATATATATATGTCTGTATATAATTATATATATATATATATATATTTAAAAAAAAATGGATTGAATTTTACATATATTTTGTCTGCTGTATAAATAATAAATAATAAAACATTTACAACTATTTTGCAACGCTACGCACGACCTATCAACTATATCAAATTGTATATATAACTCCGTATATAAATATGTCCTTTTGCTAAAAATTAATTCTTGTTTATATTATTATAGTATTAATTAATATTATCATTAATAATCAATTAATTATATTTAATATTATAATTATTAATATTATTTGCATCATACTCTCGTATCGCTCGTATTTTTAGGGTATTAGACTAATTGCATTAAAATAGTAATAACTGCGGATTATCAACTTGCTAGCGGCGTGTGTGTTGGCTTATGTGTCTGTGTGTCTGTCTATGTGTGTGTGTATTTGTATATTATGTATATATTAGATAAAGATAATCTGAAGCATATATGCTAGTAATCTATTATCTAATTGTACACACTATATCATAATCATCATGTGTTTTTGTGGATTTCATTATGTACAACTATCTGGATGCTGGCTCTGCTTGCGCTTCGCTTTTGGCTCCTTGGGATGCTGCTCGATTGAGGGACGACGCGGATTCCCAAGCGTGACTAAAGCGCTCGCCACAGCCAGCCCGGCCGACTGACCGGCAGGTGCTTGCGATAGGCCACCTAGGGGATATGGAACAGAATAAGTTAGTTGATGAGTTACAACAGGTATTGAGAGAGATCGTGGAAAGCAACAGCATATCCTACTACACAGTATCGTTCGATATGCCTTGCTCTCATCTATACTAATTACCCACCCGTGGGCAGCCGGACTAGAAGCGAGAGCACTGCGGCTCGATTGCCATTGCAGGGCTCCAAGGCAATTGGACTGGGACACTCCTGCAAGAGGGAAATGTTAAATATGCGCACTCTGAATACTCGAACTCGTCCACTCACCTTCTTGCGTTTCTTCGACATGTTGGCAATGCCCTCCAGCGTCAGGCTCAAGTCGATTGTTTCGCGTGGCTCAATGTCAACCAAAACCTAATGGATGTGTGTATATAGAGTAGTGCTTAAGTACAGGGTATATCGGGCTGCCTTACCTGTGAGAATGGTCGACTGGCCATTTGCTCCATTTCGACAAAGAGACGCTGCCGTCGGCGGAACATATCGTACTTCTGCTTGATCTTCCACAGCACGGCGGCCATGAGCAGGAGCAGCAGAAAACAGGATGAGAACGTTATGAAAAATTGCTGTAGATTGAGCTTGGGATACTGTGAGAAGGCAATTTGGATCCAGATCGGCGGCTGAAAATCATGCACAAAGACATAGAACGTCGTCAGCGAGCTGTTGTCGTCGCTCGACTGGCCAAACTGATATTCGGTCTTGGGGAAACGATGCCGGAACGTGGAGCAGTTGATGCCAACCAATATGAGGCGCTCCGGCATGCCGGCCCGCTTCACCGATATATCCATCTTGGCTGGGACGCTGCACGTGATGGTGAAATCGGCATCGATTTCGGGCTTCGCCGGCGAATTGCGGAAATTGATTTGGGTGAAGTGGCGATCCTCCTTCTTGGACAAATTGAATGTGAACTGATAG